TAATGAATTAACAGTACAATGCAGTGAAAAAAGTATCACCCACTAGAATGACAATGAATTAACAGTACGGTGCAGTGAAAAAGTATCAGCCAAAATCTCAATTTTTTCATCAACTCACAAATCACACGTGCCGCAACGAACATTTTCCTGTTAGTTTGCTACTCTCGAGCAGCATGTTCCGGAATCTACATATTTTTGACTGAATGAAGCTCGGGCAATTCCAAAAAACTTGATTTTTTTCATTTCACATGAGCTCGTTCATAAGCATGCATTAGCAGCAGCGCGCTTGTCATCAACAGCGTATACAATCCATACAGGTACCCTGAACTTCTAGCGTGGAAACGGTTTCGGAAGCAGATAGGATAAGATGCACGTGGCTGTAACTGCATTCGATACTTAGCAACTGCATTCCGATTAACGAAGGTCCGCAGCCTAAAGCGTCTCGTTCATCTTCTGCTTCAACTGAACCATTCTTTTGCACAAAAACAGCCTTTGAACCACGCCGCAATCTGCTCTCTTCCACACTCGGAAATATCGAATGGCAGTAGCAAATCACATCCCCGTGGAGAATGGCTTGAACTTCTCCTGTGATCAAATTGTTCTCATACTTCACTTTTTGCTGATACATTCCAGTAAACGTTTCCATTATGCTTGCTGCAAGTGATCCGCTTGCTCCATGGCAATAGCGTCTCGGAACAAAACTGCCAGACCAGTGTCGTCATTGCAAGGCCTGATCTTCTGTTTCACTCTTGATAACTGAAGCAAACTGGTCTCAGATTTGGATCGTTGCTGCCCGTTGAGACCAGGTCAGAAACAATCGCGCTCTCTCGAATGTGTAGGAGCTTCGGGCGCCTGCCAACGCAAAAACTGATGTTGCATGTCGATCGCGTTCGCTGAAATTTTCCACCAACCACCTAGCTGCTTCTGATCTGCAGCGTCAAATGACGAAAGGCACGCAAAAGCAGCAGCAGTCGTTCTGCACCACTTCAGGAAACAGGCTTCTTTCAAGTAGAGTTAGCTTTAAAGCGCAACCATCAATTTCATCCAAGTGATTGTCAGCCCGCAGCGGCAGTAAATAAGAATTTCCATCATTTCAGGCACGACATTCGACGAATGGAGGCGAGCTTAGGCAAAGTCCTTCCACGCAGCCAAAATGATCAAGCACAGTTAACGTCCGCAGTTGACCTAGAACCTGCCACACAGGCCACCATCCGATCTGAACGAAACACTGATTGAATCGGTTGTTTCGTTTGTATTTAAAGCATTCGCTAACGGCAATGCTAATTTGTTGCTCACAGTTATGCAGTGTGAACGTGTGAATATTCTTACTGATCTTGAACGACTTCCTGTTTATGTAAATAAGGTGAAAGAGCAAGATACAGGATGCATTACTGAAACGCATGTATTTATATTAATTTTGTTATGCGTTTTTGCATATTTAGGCAAACGCAAAAACGCTCATTTTCATATTCGCGTGTGTGTGTCTTTGCATTTTGTCACCTACTTTTAATTCAACAAACCAAATAAGCTGTGAAACCAAAACTTTTAGCACAAGTCTCTACCTTATACGTGATTCTTATTCATTAGAAACATCGTTCACATACAACTAGGTCTCACACACGGACACCTGAAAGAGGCTAGAAAAGGTTTTGACAAGAAAATGATTTCGGGGACCAAAGCAGATAGGAAGCTGAAATTTCACAGGGATGTTCCATTCCACTTCGTGAGCCGAAGATTTCAAGTCCACGTTCAACACAGCCTACGCTAGGTGTACGGACACGCCAAAGTTGAGGTTGCAAAATCGCCGGTGAAACGCCTACTCGAAAATTTTGCGGTTTAAAGCGCTCTATCTTCAGAAGAATACTTTTTTCCGTACGTAGGTGTGTAAGCCTAAAATGACGATTTCAGAAGCAGACAGGATAGGAAGCTGAGAATTTAA